TTTAAGCCCAAACCGTTGCGGGGTTCTTTTGTTTTTTGGGGGGGGGGGGGGGTAATAAACTTGCCTCCATGGTGACGCTGTGCGACATCACAGCCGCCAGAGGGCACTGACTAATGTATGTGTTTGTGTGGCAGTGTGGGGTGAAACGCAGACATTTATTTTTAGTATGTGTTGGTGAAGCCACCCCCCACAAAATCTGCCCAAACAGAGCACCTCTCTGGTTCCAAAATGCTTTGGAGTTTCACCAAAAATAAATTGAAGCACTTTATTTCTCAACTCCTTGGAGGCTGGCAGCTCCTGCAAATTTTTAGCTTCTAAGCACAAGCCGCAGGCACTCAGCGTGTAGAAATCACATTGTAGGCGCGCCGTCTCGAATGCCCAACACCAAAATCTGAGCCACTTGTTTTGCAAGCCTTTTGGCTTTTGTCGACTATTTCAAACAATTGGCAAACTGCATAGCCTGATTGTGACCTATGTTATGCATGAAACAATGAAAACAATTAGATTTTAATGGAATGGGACCTTTGTTGCCTGTTGTCTGTTTGAGAGGGAGGAAATTGTTGCAGAGACAGCACATTTGACAAGAAAGTTTTACTTGATACTTGAATTGACATGCACGTGGGTGCTCTTACTCATCCGTCCTGTAGAGGGCGAGGGCGTGGCCGGTAAAATCAATGACATCCTGGCCCAGGTCAAACTTCTTGTACACATCCCTCATGGTGGTGGTCTTGGGATCCACGCCCTCAAAGGTCTTGGGGTCGTTCTCGTCAAAGTTAGCCACAAAGACCAAAAACTTGCGGAAGCGGCGCTTCTCAAACATTCCCATCAAATCTGGAGATTTAAGCATTGGAGCGACTTAATGAGGCGGCGCTTGACGGCGGTGCTCGACTTGTGGAAGGTGTTTGGCTTACTTGAAGCTAACGCCTCAGTCTCAGTGGACGGCACCTTGTAGATCTTTCCTCCCTTGTAGACGAAACTTCCCTCCACCACTTTGAAGTCCAGGTACCGAGTCACTTCTGTGTACAGCAGCATCTTCACCAGCTGACCTGCACTCACGCACACAAGCTGACGCTCAAGTGACACCACTCCTCTGAAGAACAACGCCCGAAACGAAATCACTAAAACTAAATTCGAAAAAGCATTTTTGTTTACGAAAATTGTGAAATATAAATGAGAAAGCTATTCAAAAAACATTAACTGGAACTACATTTTACGTTTACAAAACTAATTATAATTATAGCAAAAATTGACTTTGTTTTCATCTTTGTCAATTATTTTCATACATGAGCTTTCAAGGTTTATTTGAAATGTATTTAAATCGGTACTCAGGGCAGCTGAAGAAGGAAGGTTGAACAGTCGTTTGGGAATTGTGGTTTGTTTTTATATATAGATAGATAGAGAGAGAGAGAGAGAGAGAGAGAGAGAGAGAGAGAGAGAGAGAGAGAGAGAGAGAGAGAATTAAAACTAATAAAAACAAAACAAAAATGAAGCATTTTCAAAAATAAAAATAAAAAACAAACAAACCTGCTTAAAAGTAATTCAAACAAATTTATGACTTGTTGACTTGTGTTTACGCCACACTTGTTTGGTCGAACTTTGTCAAATGATTGTCCTGAGAACTTAGAAGACTGCAAGTCAAAGTGTTTCAAAAGTTAACTCCAATTGAAGTGGGTAAATAAGCTTGCATTTTTAATTTGTAGATCTTTTGCCTTTACTTTAGCACAGTGGTCCCCAACCACCGATCCGCGGATCGGTACCGGGCCTCGGCCTATTTGGGACCGGACCGCACAGAGACAGACCTGACAGCTGTGACCAAATTTATTCCATCAGACGCGACAGAAATGTGCGCAACTCTAGCCAACATGAGTTCGCCTTCAAACATTGGTTTGCAAGATGAAATAAACAGAATCTGCCAATAAATGAAAGAAAAATCAGCAAACAGAAAGTCATAGTAACAAGTTGACCAAACGTACAGGTAAACGCGCAATTGATGGGCAGTCATGACTTGCAAAGATGAAGCTATTTTGACAAGCGAAGTTCCTCCCCTAACGGTATCTCCAGAGAAACGTGGAGGCGAACGCTGTTGTGCATGATATGTCGACAAAAACAAGGCACTCCAAGAAAGCTGTTGAATCATTTGAACAAGTAGCACCCAATCAAGTGGAAAGCGTGAAAATGAGAGCAGTTTGCACAGCCTGCCCACGTAAACATGAGCAGTTTAGTCGCTAATAACTAGCCGGCAATCAATCGTGTCATCTTTTGATCAGTCACATTTGCAAGTAGCAATGATGCTAACGCCGTGCGAAGGATCATAACTTCAACATTAGCGTTTACATTATGAGGCGTATTTATTATTCCTGATTGGTCCATTTCTTCATAGTTCACTGTGTTCTTTTGTTCTACATCTGTTGTACTGTGGAATAACACTGTTTGAAATTAATGACAAAAAAATCTGTTAATAAAATGTTGAATTACCCTACAATTATCTTTGTTGTCAGTACCAGTGCTTCAAAACTGGTAAACATAATGAAAAAATGGTTGGCGGTCCGTGAACAGCATGTACTTGTCTCAACTGGTCTGTGACACAAAAAAGGTTGGGGACCATTGCTTTAGCGTAAGCCTAAACCTAGAACACCAATATATGTATGAATATTAAATCTGATATCTGTTATTGTATTACAGATTAATATTCCTTGTGTGTGTTAAAATATATATACAAGGGAAAAGAACCTTGAAAAAAATAATCATATATGAAAATGGCAAATGCGATATTGAGGCAAAGAAATCACATTAAAAATATTTTTCAAAATTGTTCAGCCTTTTTTGAGATACAAGTGTTTTATTGTACTCTACGCAGGAAGCCGAACTGACCGTTGGCCATGAGGAACTTGGGGATGAGGTCCACATTCCAGTCGCGTCCCCGACCCATCGAATCGGGCGGACTGTTAGGGAGGCTGAAGCGCTTGTAAAGCTGAGGGAAAGCCCAAGACAGACATGAATGGACGCTGCAGCGAGTGCAAACGGAACCACTGTGTGGCATGTCAAACACAGTGAGGATCCCATTACCTCTTCCAGAGGGGTGATGGAGGAACTCTCACCACCGTAGTAGGGGTTCCTGTCCATGTGCAGAACCTTCTTGCCATTCACAGACATGATCCCAGACAGGATGCATTCCTGCACAAAACAATTACAAACAAATGAGGAATGCCAGTCAATAGGATTTTCACTAAACAAATATGATTGCAGTTTTTTTTTTTTTTTTTTGCTTTAATTATTAATATTGTTTTGGCCCTCAAGAAATATTGAATTACAGGCCCAGGAGAGTAAAAATAAACGTCTTACAAATGAAGGGCCAACAATTAATCAATCACTGTTATCAACAACAAATCCATTCTAAAATTCATGGACAATGATTTTGATAACTGATCAATTGTCTGAAGACTTTATTTAACCCTTTCATGCATCCTGTAACCTGATAACATGATAAGCTGTCCACTGTAGTAACCGCTGTCCCTGAAAGGGTTACCTTCAAAATGACAGGAAATATTCACTGAATCCTATCATCCTGCATGAAAGCAAATTGATTGAATTTGCGTTTTTTCAAAATAAGACGTTAGCAAACATTTGCTTTACTTTGGAAAACAACAATCAATATTTTTTTTCTGATTTTCTAACTAATATTACGAACCAAACTAGGAACTGAATCGTCATCCTGTTGTATTTGTGCATTTTCTGCACTCTCAAATAGAAATAATGTCCAGCTTTTCAATAAAAGCATGGAACTTAAAAAAATGTTGATCCAATTTATCAATTTATTAAAACATAAATATAAATTAACCAACAATTTAAATGATCATTCGTTGCAGCACTAATGTATATTGAAAAAAGAAATGATAGTTTGGTTAATTGAAGACTCAAAACTGTCCTTTATTGTTCAGGTGTTCAACATGTACCCCGCCTCTCGCCAATACCCCAAAGTCAGCACACCCGCGACCTATCAGGAGGATAAGCGGTACAAGTGAGCGAATGCATGAATCCGCTCTGTGATCTGTAATGTACTAGTAATTATTTGCACCAATTTATAGCAGCTTAGGTCAAATTTCATTTTAAATTGGGGTGATGTGGCCCTAACTCAAGTGACTTTAGCCCCCTCCCCTGGACGAAATAGCGGAAGTGATGCCAATTGAACAGAGGATGCAGAGGGAGGAGAGACAGGCTCATGTGCGCATGCGCCAACTCTGGCTTCAGCAATTCTCGACTTTTACTCTTTGCTCGAAAAAAAAAAGAACAGGAATATTGTCAGCCGCACTGTGCGTGTCATGATCACGTGTTCACACTAGTAATCACAGGGTATTGACAAACTGACTCGAGAATGGTCCTGCGTCGAGAATGGCCACTTTTGCGATTCGAATTAAATGTCCTCAAAATGTGCATAAGAGCACATTAATGTCGTGTCGTGACGTGGCGTGAAGCAGCAATTGCCAGCCGACTCGATAGGTGGAGTGGAGCTCTGGCCCGCAGCGGCGAGGAGGAGCAGCGGCGGCGGCGGGGTGACGCCTAAAAGATGCTACAGGCTGCAACACTACACCCCCACGCACACCAAACCGGTCACCGCCCGTCCACGTATCATTCCACTCCTAATGGCACGTACTTGAGCGTCCATCCAAGCGTCTAAAATGCACATTTTCTCTCACGATGTCCTAATATCACAATGCGCCGTCGGGAGGCATTTTGCGCTTCGGGCCTCAATGGCGCTGATCAAAACTAAATGACGCTCAGTAGCAGCACGAGGATGCAAAAATGAAGCTTGACGTCTTACTGTGAGTCCGGTGCCCAAAACGATCACGTCATATTCTTCATCCATGTTGTTGTCTAGCCGCTTCTTCCGTCTCGCCCTCTTTTTTTCTGTGAGAAATGCAGCAAAGGGGAAAACGCCAGAGGGTCTCCTGCTCTCGGTGCACCCGCTCCGGACGCCTGGTTGGCACGTTAAACGTGTTTTGTAATCATGAGATGAAGCAACGAGGGGTTGGATGAGTAAAGGCGGCCACACTAGATGTCAGTGGCGAGGACAACCAAAGATGGCCTGGACACTGGAGAGCTCGGGAACAGCGTGGCTGCCTGCGCGTCGGCAAATAGTGCGTTCCCTCCCTCCTCACAATGGACTCCCAACAGGAAAGGGCACGCCAACGTCGCCTGCGCCTGCGGTTCAGTTCACGCTCGTATTCAGAGCTCGTCTCAGAGTTTGAAAAGACCACGACGTCTTTTCAAACAATGTCGTCTTGTATTTTCTTTATCTATCCCTCTTTTCCAGTTGGAGACGCAGTGTTATGTGGAGGAAGGCTAGGTATCCCTCCGCCACCACAGCTGTGTGAACTGCTTTCACACACTTTCCGCGCAGAAAATAGCGAGAAAGCATACAAACTCGTCATTATTGTTCAAGTTTTTCAGGGATTGTAGTTTGTCTGTGTATCACGGCCAGTTGTTGTTGGTGTTATTTATTTCGCCTTTTAATCCAAGACAATATGCTGACAGAAACATACTGTAGCACCAAGGACAGTCGCCAGGTGTACCTGCATGTCTAACGTCCATTGAATTCAACTCCAACGTGTTTTGTTCTCAAAACCAAAAAGTACTGTACTCGCACTCGCTACTTGTAAAAAAAAAAATATATATATATATATCAACATTATGACACGTTTCACGTTTCAACCTGATCAATTTTAACACGATAAGGTATCACGTTATAACACACGTTTTATGATATAGCATGGCATTTAACTGTTTTTGTGGAAAAAAAATTCTTGTAAAATAAAACAAAACAATCTTATTTACAGACATTTAATCGTATTTTCCCTTCATAATATTTCATATTTATTCTTGTAATAATGCAAAGCAACTTTCAAAATCTTTTTTTTCATTCTTTCTTGATTTTTTTTCATCATGATATTGAGACTTTATTTTCAGAAAATTGATTTTTTTCCTACATTCATATTTTTTAAGCAATATTATGATGTTATTAAAACTTACAACTTTCATCTTGGATTGATCACAGCAATATGCCCTTTCAAAATGACCCTTCATTGATGTAAATGGCACCCTCAGGTTGATGCCCGGAGCCACCGCCCTGTTGGCCCGCCCTCTGCACGCCCCTGAGTTGAAATCCTGACCCGAGTTAAAAACCCTCATTTGAAGCCCTAACTGTAGTTTAAAACCCTCATTTGAAACCCGAACCCTAGTTTAAAAATCATACTTTGAAACTCTAACCCAAGTTTAAAACCTCAACCCTAGTTTAAAACACTACTTTGGAATCCGAACCCTTCTTTCAAACCTGAGGTCACACATTTTGATGTTAATCATTTCACTACATTGTTATAAATTGTGACTTTATTTTGAAACTCAAACAAAATTTAAAAACCTAATTTGAAAACACAACCCTAGTATAAAATCCTACTTTGAAACCCTAACCATGTATTAAAAATCCTACTCGGAAGCCTGAACCTTACTCTAAAACCCTAATTTGACACCCTAACAAAAGTTTAAAACCCTGGGGGACGGGTGCTGATGGAACTTTTCCAAAATGTGCCTTCAAAAACAGCAGGATGCCCCTCCAAAATCTCTCATCTGGGGCCTGAAATTTTTTCCTTGGATGGATGCCCCTTCAGGGGGATGTCTCGGGCCACCAACCAGTTTGCTTCACCCTCTGAACCCCCCTAAGAGCGAGAGAGAGAGAGAGAGAGAGAGAGAGAGAGAGAGAGAGAGATGGAAAGAACGTGACAAACAAAGATGGGGACAGACAAATGGGCAGACCGGCAGAGAGCGCGTGAGGAGGAGCGGACGCCATCTTGGTCACATGACAGTCAGCTGTCTGTTGTCACGTGCCGACAAGTTTTGGTGCAACTTGTCAAGATGGCAGCAGGCTCCCGACTAGTGTGGCCGATGGTTTTTCTGAGTTTTTTTATGGCCGCATTTGGGACGGCGCGCTCCACTGCGCAAGTGCCGCTTCTGATGTGGTCCACGCACGGGTAATATATCACGTTTTCCCCTCTTTTAGCCGTAAGATCAACGTCGCCGTGTCGTATGCTAATGCTAACGCTAATACCGGTTGATAAATCATGTTTCCTCTTGGAACTTTGAATAAGAGCAAACGAACAGAACTCGGGCAAAACTGCCCATTTATTACGCCTAAAAGCGACAATTCAAATACAAGTGTAATCACTCGAGCCTCAGATGAAGGAACTTCAACATTGTTTTAAAAAGAGAAGCCTCAAGACGTCGTCTTTACGCCATCATTGTTACCAATTAACTTTTTACTTATTTCTGCTGCGTTTTATTTTAAGCTAAAAAAATCTTTGGAAACCATTACACTCTCGTCGAGGTCATGCTCTGCAACTTGGCCGAAACTTAAACTATCCTTTCTTTTTCTATGGTGACTTTGAGTGAGACGCAGGTCGCACCAAGGACTGGTCACCCGCCAATCACAAGATATTGTCAAAAGACTGGCAGAAACAGACAAACAACATTTCCCTCTCATATTCACACACTTACGAACAAGTAAGAGTCTTCAATTAATTATTATGTGGGAGAAGTATCCACAGAAAACACTCGCAAGCATGGAAGGAATATGCAAACATGTCACTGGAAAATCAGAGCTCGGATTCAAACCTCATTGGATGATGGATGTGCCACTCTGTCTCATTCTTCTTTCTGTTGCAATATTCCATCGGAACACTGGTTCTGAAAAGAATCAGGAAGCATATCTGCTTCACACTTCTGAGGCTTGGAGTTCCTATTTAGAATTTACATGCTTGCCAAACACGAAAGGAAAGTTGAACATTTGTCTTACTGAGATGGTGATCAACTCTGATTTAACCTCGCTCAAAGTGATCTGGAATGGGCTCACGCTCATCTATGACTCTGAGAATAAGCATCATAGAAAACAGATGGATGACTGACTGTGCCATCATATCATCAAAAATGGTCAGATGGCAAATAAATCTGATGTAAGCACTTGTGCTTCTTGTATTGTGGACACCTAATGGTCACATTGCAGGGCCGACATTAACGACAGCCTGATGGCCCTGGGCAGTACGTCACTGTGTCGGGCAGCCACGTTCCGTTACAGATGCAGGCCCAGTTAGGCCGGTACACATTTTATAAATGAATGCAATGAAATTGCTTTTTCGCTCAAATAGTTTGAGTTGTTATCCACTGAAATTGATCAACTAACTCGGACCCTCTGTTGTCTCCAAATGGAATGAAATGGCGCAGTGGTGTCGTGACCTGTTGAAATGTGTATTTTAAATATATAGCAGGCTCTTCCTTATGTCATAACAAGGGTGGTAAAGCGTTGGGATTTGGATTCCAGTAAATTCACGTAGTTTTTATTTGATTTCTATGTGAATTAAAGATGGGGAAGTTGCTCCAAATTGGAAGTTTGAATGGAAAGGTGTCATATTCAAGCATAGAGTCTGGATCAGCATTTAGTTAAGTCGTACGCAGGATGATACAATTCAAAAGCCTGCCATTTCGACATGATTATTTGTAGGTCATACTTTTGAGTTTTAGTTATTCTTTTGAGCAATGTATTCTTTCATTGAAGAATATAAACATGCCTGTTTAGTTTAATATTACTCGGACCCCCAATCTCAACTCATTCAAAACAGTGGCCTTCCTTTCCACTCCCACTGCAAGTTGCCAGTTTTGCAATTCCCTGAAAGTTTCAACCCCCCTCATGGCTGCTTCTTTGCTGTCCCCCTCCCATCGTTTCTGCATATTGATGACTGTACGATGTCTCTGTTTTGCTCTGCGTCAGTTTGCCACCTGCGGCTTCGCTTTCAGCGGGCCACATCACGTCCAACGAGCAGCTGGCCTCCTACCTGGGCTTGGCCTTTGGCTCCGGCGCCCACACCGTGCTGCTCTTCCTGCAAGAAAAGGTCAGTGACGCGACATGTTAGATGAGTGGAGATGGCTAGCAGGGGAGTCATGTGACACCACAGTACATTGTTCTCACTGTAGTGTGACGTTGAGCTGGAGCCTCGCTTCCTCTTTGGAGCTGCCTTTCCAAACTATTTTTAAGGCGTTTCTTTTGATCCTTTCCAACAGCTCGTATACAATGACTTCGGACATAGTGAGACAGGAGATTATTCACACTGTAGTGAAACGTATTTGCACTCTTCTCAAATTACCATTTTGTGTGGTTTCCCCACTTTCATGTTTAAGATCGTCAAACAAATGTAAATCAACATCAAACAAAGAGAGCTAAGTAAACATGAACTGCAGTTTGGATTTTTATTTAGTTTGTTTTTTTTTTTTTAAATGAAGAAAAAAAGCTATTCAAAGTTACCTGGCACTTACTGTTCCTGTAAACCTAAGTGGTTGGGCCACCCTCAGCAGCAGAAAGTGAAGTGAAGTTAAGCGTTTTCTAAACCCCCCCCATTCCCCCTCCAAAAAAAAACTATTTGGCTATATTCACACTGCAGGCCAGTATGACCTTTTTATCTACATGTTCACATTACAAAACCAAACGCACTTCTTCATGTAAAGGGAACGCAGCTGTGGTGACACGCATGCGCACAAAGCGCGACGTCGAGCGACATGCGCAGTAAAAAAAAAAAAAAAAGACATTAAGTGACATAGCATTTACGGAAGTAAACATGGTCCCGTGTGTAGGGGCTCATTTTCTCATCTTATATCAACAGTGTAGCAAGGCAGCAGGAGGCAGAAATATTTTGGGGATGCGGGGTGACGCTCCTTGTTTCATGGAGACGTCCGCTAAAGATGAGGCCACGTCGTTGCTGCGTGTACAAAATGAACTGTCTGCATGGATAAACTACTACAATCACCACAAACGTCCACTTTTTGCTTCATGTTGCAGGTGTGATTAAATTAAAGTCAGATATAAAGTTAACACTGTTACTCTAACCAACTGCAGATTCACGGACGATTGTCAGTAGTATCCGAGTGTTCTACCCCTCCCGCACAGAGCGCATGTTTGGCTTTAGATCACACATAGATTGGATGACTGTGGATGAGCGCTCATAATGCAGACGTATCGCATACATCAAGGGTGTCAAACTCATTTTTGTCACGGGCCACATTGTAGTTCCGGTTTCCCTTGGAGGGCCGTTATGAATTTTGGGAAACCATCGAAATGTTTAATCACCTCCACATATTACATACACAGCGCACAACAAATTGATGGATGACTAGTTTTAAAATCAGAAGTCAAGAATAATGACTGTTACTGTGGATTACATATGACAATTTGAAATTTTGGTACAGACTTTAGCAAGCATGATGGACCTTGACATGCTTGATTTGCTTTCGCGGGCCACATAAAATGAGGTGGCGGGCCAGATCTGGCCCCTCGGCCTTGACTTTGACACCTGTGGCATACATAATCTGATTTATATCCACACATGAAAGAGGCCCAGGTTGGATTTGAAAACATCGAAATTGTACTGCTCACACTGCACGAAAAAAAAAATTGTGTCACATATAGGGGAAAAACGGAATTGAGCTGCAGTGTGAGCATAGCCTCTGTGGAGATATATTGTCACTCTTGATTGCACGTTTCAGCAACACTAGTTAAGGTATTTCCCACATGAATGGCCCGAAAATAATCCACAGGGTCAAATCTGATCCATCCGTATGTGATATTTTTTTGTGTTTGTGTGCAGCTGAGCAAAGATGACTTCACGGTGTTTGCCGGCGTGTTTGGAAACAAGCAGGATGGCGTCTTTCCAAATCTGGAGGTAAGTTCTCCGCTCGTGTTTGTCTTCAGACGCGGCATCGCTCGTCAGGTCGTGACTCGGCGCTTCGTGTCCAGG